CGCGGGCCCCCGTTCCCGGGTCCGCGGCGCCTGGTCCCCACGCGGAGCGCGTCACCCACCCCCGCCCATCCGGCGGGCCCCTGAGCACGGGGATCGCGCCCCCGGCCGGCCTGGCCAGCCCCTTCCCGGCGGTGCCCGGGGCCCCGTGAGCGGGTGCGGAGCCCGGCCTCGTCACCTCCCCGCTGCCCCCGGATGCGCGCCGGCACCCCGACTCACGCAGCGCGCGGCGGTACAGCGGCTCCCCCGCCAGCTCCCGCTTCAGGTTGGCGCCCAGGAACCGGAGAGGGTCGTGGTCCGCAGCTTCCCGCAGCTGGCGAGGAAAACGCGTCAGTCCGAATGAGTTCAAGACTGCGGGAAAGGGGACCCGCAGCGGGGCACTCTCCCTGCCCCGCAGCGAAGAGAATAAAGTGAAGGGATCCAGGTCTCCCGCGTCCGCGTCCGGAGCAGAAGAGGTCTCAGACCCTTTCCCTCAGACCAGGGTGTCCCCAGGGGCCAAGGGAAGGACGTAGTGGCGAGGAGGAAGACCAGGAGAAAGAGGGGGCAGAAGATAGGGAAGAAAGGGCTAAGCCCAACACGGGCTGAGAGCTGAGGCAGCAGACCCACCCCCAAGGCTGGACACACACACACGGAAGATGTGACGGCTCAGTCCGGAGATCGCTCACCTCTAGGTACCGGCTCTCCCCTCTTAGAGCCATCAAGATGAGAATGAAGTGACACTGAAGTTTGAAGGAAGGCGACATGACGGTCTTGCCTCTGCAGCTGGTCGGCTGGGCTCTGGAGGTCTCAGGATTTGCTTCCCAAAACTACGCCCAGGCTGTGAGCTAGAAGCTGGTAGGGTCCCTTTGCTGGGTCTCTTTTATAGAGCAGTGAGGAGGGGAGGCTCTCTGCCCCTTAACTGATCTGAGCTCAGTAACCATGGGTTACCCTGTCTCAGTGACAAAGTGCGTGCTGATGACGAGGGTCCAGCTCTCAGCCACAAATTCTCAGAGTGGTCCAGCATTATTCACCAAGAATGATTTTAGGCACTTAAAACTTATTGAACTGAACTGTGGGACAAAGAAGGAGGTAAGGATAGAAAATAAAGGAAGGCGTTTGGCTTGACCTGCCAAATGCTGAATTATCGTTTCCTGTGGATATTTAGGGAATTTTCAGTGTTGCAAAGCCAAGTGACAAGGTTACACACATACATAAAATACCCAAACAGATAATCTTATCGTGCAGGCTTGTCCCAGAACCTTGATGGAACCATGCTGGAAATCGTCAGAGATTATAGTGTTTGTGCAATTGCTCTTGTCTCTCAGGAAGGAACTTGAGGAGTTTTTAGCTCCAAAGAGAGCTGAACAGAAGCCGAAGTCTGATTCTGCAGAATATGGCAACAATGCAACTCAAACTTTCTTTCTGTCCCTTAGTCTTTGCTTTATCCTGGTCCAGTTTCTTGTAAGCATTTCCCTAACGGAAAGCTAACTCTGGCATCTGTGAACTTCTGGATTTTCACCTAGCTTTGCCATTTAGCCCAAATGTGTACACCATAGGACACACTCCTGGGCCAGCTAACGGTAACCATGACCTTGGCATCCATCTGAACGAGTGAGAGATGAAGTCATTCCATTTCACACCTTCAAATACTTGGATTATTTGAATATTCTGGTAGAAAGAACTGCCCAAAAACCTTACTATAACTGCTTATCAGCAACTGTACAGGGCTAAACAAATGACTTAGAGATCCAGAAATAAGTATCTCTGCTGATTAGACAGAAGACGGTTGCTTCCCCCTTCATGTCAAAAGTTATGGGAAATATGGGGATACTAAACTTTTGGCTTTCCAATTTATGTGCTAAGCAAGGCAGCTACAAAGTCTAAAAACCTTGTCTTGTTTTACCTCTGCCTGACAGAAAACATGGTACTACCCTTATCTTTCTTTGTTATTAAAATTAGTACAAATAATGAGACGTTAATACAAAATTTCAGTCAAGGAAATGGTTATATTATGTTTATAAATACTCAAAATTAAGTAGTAATTTGCCTAGTGGTATAGAACTTGATATTTCCTTATCTTACTTGTTTAATTGGGAGGCCTTCCTACCTCCTCCATTTTTGGAAACAATCCTCAGACCGCAGAGAGTGTGACGGGGAAGCGAACCCAAAGGTCATGAACGCTGGCCACCATGTTCTTCTCTCCATCCTGGGACTGTGTAGATGTCTACATTTCAGAAAGGGCGTAAAGAGAGGAATCAAACAATACAAAAATAAATGGTTTAACACCAGCTTGCTTGGTCTGAAACACACCAGGCCATCTTCATGCCTGTCTCCCTCCCTGTTTGTGCCTGAGGAAGCTTTCAGGCTTTACCATCAACCTAGCCATAGCCTTGGCCTATTCCCAGAATTCAGCCTGGCATTCAGCTTGGGAAACTCTTGTTTATCCCATTTTGAGGGTCTGGCTTTTGTAGCGTCACCACGGAGACATTCTTTTCCAATCTTCACATGCTCACACACACACACACACACACACACACACACACACACACACAATACTGATGTTCCTTACATGCATTCATGATGTTCCCTCCTCAGGAAGTGCACACTGGAAGATAAATAAGGGCAAATATAACCACAGATAGATAACATTCCATTTTATGTAACACCCCACAAATGATCACATATGGGTGAATTTTATTTCCACCAAATGTGTTATTTTCTCCAAGTTGGAAAATATCTACTAAGCCAATAGAAATTGTATCTTGGTTTTTTTTAATTAAGAGTAACTATAGGAGAAAATATTTATAAATGATATATCTGATAAGGGGTTAATATCCAAAAAATATAAAGAACTCACACAGGTCAACACCAAAAAATACCCTCAAACAGTCCAAAACAAACAAACAATCTGATTTAAAAATGGGCAGAGGATGCCTGCCTGGTTCAGTTGGTGGAGTGTGCAACTCTTGATCTCAGGGTTGTAAGTTCGAGCACCACACTGGGTGTAGAGATTACTTAAAAATAAAATCTTAATAAAATAAAATAAAATAAAATGGGCAGAGGAGCTGAAGAGATATTTTTCCAAAGACATACAGATGATCAACAGACACATGAAGAGATGCTCAACATCACTCATCATCAGGGAAATGCAAATCAAAACCACAATGAGACATCACCTCACACCCGTTGGAATGACTAAAATCAAGAACACAAGAAACAAGTGTTGGTAAGGATGTGGGAAAAAAGGAACTCTCGTTCGCTGTTCATGGAAATGTAAATTGGTATAGACACTGTGGAAAACAGTATGGAAGTTCTTCAAAAAATGAAAAACAGAAATACCATATGATCTAATAATCCCACTATTGGGTATTTACCCAAAGAAAATGAAAATATTAACTCCAAAAAATATATGCACCCTTGTTTATTGAAGCATTATTTATAATAGCCAAGACATGGAAGCAACCTAAGTGTCCATCAACAGAAAAATAGACAAGGAAATGTGGTATATATACACAAGGGAATTTTGCTTAGCCATAAAAAAGGATGAAATGGTGCCATTTGAGACAACATCGATGGACCTAGAAGGTATTATGCTAGGTGAAATAAGTCAGACTGAGAAAGACAAATACCATATGGTTCCACCAATAAATGGACTCTAAAACAAAAAATAATAAATCAACAAACAAAAAGCAGAATCAGAACTATAAAATACAGAACATAAACTGAATAAAACTCATTGTTAACCAATAACAACAAAAAACTAATTTTCAGTTGCTTTCAAGATGATATGCTGTTTGAATAAATTTGGCCATTTTTAATGCAATCATTTTAATAGATAAGACTTATTTTTCAGACGTGTTTGAGATCAGGAAGAAAGAAACTAAGCAAATGTCCTTGGGAACTAATATAAACCAGCCTTTAGATGAAAGCTTCATATGTCAGTGATTTCAACCCAGATCCATTATCTTCTTTTGTTTTACTAAAGATGACCAGCAGTCAGTAAAGATTAGGACTTTGGGGGGTTGCAAGTGTCCTCTGTTGAAGTGATTAACAAAAGAAAAAGTTTACTACTACAAACAGGGAGTACTTAAGGGGGTGGGTTTGGGATTGACCCTAGAATAGAAAGAGATTTGGGATTATGTAGTTCCTTGCTTCTCCTGATACCTCAGTGCATATATAAGATGTCGAAGACTCCATAAATTTACACTTGGCTGTCACAGTTACATCATAGACCATGGGGGTGACTACAAAGGACCCTTGGCATACTTACAGATTGTCTGGGTGAGCCACTATAGTTTCAGCACAATTTAAAATCCTGCCCCCCTGAATCAATGTTCTCATAATTCCCAGTCCACATAATTTTGTGGGAAAAAGCTCAAAGCCCAGGGGATAGGATCTTGTGGTAACATGACTGTTTTCATGACAGCCATACGGACAGAGAAGGGAGAAGAAGTTTCTAGAAGGGATGCTGGGTTCACAGAATAACAGGTATCTTCAAGAGACTGAAAACACAAAACAAAACAAAACAAAACAAAACCAAAAAACCCTGGTTTAATGCCCTCTTTGACCATAAGTTTTCTTACCTGTAAAAAGATGATCTATGCTGAGGATTATTTTAGGAATTAATATTCTATGTCCCACACAAAGGAAAGCTTCCAAACAGTGATGATATGAGAAAGTAAGAGAGATTAAATGATCTTCCCAGATTATCACCATGAGTCAGAAACAAAGTCTAGACGAAAAAGATCTATGTCCAGCCAGGTTAGTGATCCTCTTTCAAAGACAACAGCCCTGGAAATTAACCCCAAAATTACATTTTGGGCTTTAAGAATTACTAGGCTACCAGCAGAAAGTGAGACGGCACAGCCCAAAGCAAGATACTGGCAGATCAATAAGTACAAAGGAGACTGAGGATTGTTCATGTCTGCGCGTTCGTTGGCTTCCTTGACTTTGGATTGACATTGTTATCTCAACTTCCCTCAGGCTTACTCCAAAATATGCCGTGACTAACATCTAGCCAATAGATCATGATGAAATGCAATTTAATAATCCCTCACTGCCTGCATCAAAGGGAAAAGTACAGCCGTGTCCAGATCAGTTGGTGTGTTTGTCATCAGGTAGTGGTGACGTGCATAGGCACATAACATCAGCCGCGTCTGTGACGGAAGAAAAATGAAGTGTAAAGAGTCTCATTTCTTAGTGCCTTAAAATAAATCTAAAGGAGAAAATTCTGCCAATTATGTGGAGTGACACGAGAGGTTCTAAATAAGGAAATCAGTAGGGATAACTGCAAGCTAGGCAGTGGTGAGCTATCTGGGGTGAGTTTTAGCACACTTTTCTGAGACCCCTGCCAGTGGCCAGCTTGCTTTTCCCCTCTGTCAACCGCTTCTTTTATTCATCCTTCCTTCCTTCCTACCTCCCTTCCTCCCTTCTTTCCTTCCTTACTTCCTCCCTCCCTCCCCTCATTCCCCCCTCCCTCCCTTCCTTCCCCCCACTTCTTTCCTTCCTCCCTTCCTTCCTTCTTTCCATTCTTCCTTCCCTCCACAAATTGTGAGCAACAGATTTAGCTGCTCTACACTCATAGTATTTTATATATACCCTGAGTAGCCTTTATCTTATTTTATTATACCTTTTAATATACCCGTCTTTGACTCCAAATGTCAATTCCTGGAAGTCTGGCCCTGTGGCTCATCCCTCTCTGTCCTCAGCACACACACACACACCTGGAACTCCTGGATGGTACCTAAAAACAAATTAAAGCATT